GCTGCAGACCGTTCGTGTTACTCGTGTTGTTTTATAGTCCTGCATGTTCGGGCACATCGGACCAATTATTAGTGACAAGCATTGCCTATAAGGTACTTTAATTTAGTTTTAAAGTAAGGGTACATGCCGATATGATTATTCAAGTGCAGTTGACATTTTCTGTGGTTTGACATAGACAGGGAGCCCCCCTCGTTACGTTGCAGAAGTCAATCAAGTATTGTCGGCACCAGAGGACATTTGCAGGGCTGTTGGGTCATGATGGGCCCGACACTAACGGAGAGCAAGAAGCGTTGAACCGCAGCTGCCGGTGGGCACTCCGGAAGGCCACCACACGACGAGGCGCAGAGCGCTGAAGGAAACATCTGCCTCCTCCGAGTGCTCGTCACCAACTTTTTTAGAGGCGAAGCTCCTTAAGGCGCGGGTCTGTACATCCTCCGATGTAGTAGTAGTAGTAGGTAGCCACCGGTGGCACATACCCGCTCTAGAGCGAATATGTGCCATGGGAGATGGGGTACTTGCAGTGTTCACTAGATGGGTGCAAAGGCGGATGCATGGACGGACTAGCAGACAGGTAGACGGACAGACCGGTAGACACACAAACGGACGGACAGACTGATGCATGGATAGACGGATGGTTGCGCGGACGGACGGAAGCACGGACGGGTTGACGGATGCTTCGCCACACCCATCATCATTCACTCCGTGGATATGCTTTGTTTTTTCACATATATACATTTGCACAGCGCCCTTTGTGGGGCCAGAGAACCGGTTCTGAAACCAGAACGAGAACCTTAACACCACATATGATACCGCAACTGGCACCTAGAAAAGACTATCGTTCATCACCCCTCTATCTCTGTGGTGGTTTTGGCTGCGTACGCCAGGAATACTTTTCTTCTTACAGCGAGATAGCTGTTATGAGATACAACAAGAGTCACGTGCACCGTACTTGTTTGCCGGCACCGCCGCCGTTGGTGTCATGAACCACTATTATGCAAAATGAGAAAAAGTTTAAGTAAATAAAAACATCAATACACAAAAGGATGTCAACCTGGGTTCCCGCATGCCAGCCAAGTATTCTACCACAAAGCTATGTCGGTTTTTTTCTTTATTACTTTTTTTCCCGTACAGTAATAATACAGTGCATACAGAGGTAACAAGAAGGATGTTGCCCCGCCACAGTGGTCTAGTGGCTAGGTACTCGGCTGCTGACCCGCAGGTCGGGGGATCGAATCCCAGCTGCGGCGGCTGCATTTCTGATGGAGGCAGCGATGCTCTAGGCCTGTTTGCTCAGATTTGGGTGCACGTTTAAGAACCCCAGGTGGTGAAAATTTCCGGAGCCATCCACTACGGCGTCTCTCATAATCATATGATGGTTTTGGGACGTTAAACCTTACATATCAATCAACAAGAAGGATGGTTACATGGTCATTAGAATTTCTTTATACGGATTAGTGGCTCAAGTTGTTCGAGCCACAATGGTGGGGGGGGGGGCCCCTCATTTTACAGTCTTCAATAAAGTTAATGATCATTTGGCGAAAATATTCACAAATAGGCAGAGTATTGATATCAGCATGGCATGCTGCCATGTATTTTTTTCCAAGTACTGTGAAAGCCAAGCATCATAACAGTAACATACACCTTAGTGTGCCATCGTCATTAATCGGTAAAAACCTGATTCTGTAGGCATATAGCGGTAAATCTTTTTTGATAGTTGTCTGGAGAATGTCCCAGAAGAACACACCTTCCCAACAATCCAGAAAGACATGTTCCACGATTTCAGGCTTACGTTGGAGAAAACAGTGTGTTCTTCACAATAAAAAAGAGCCCTTTTCTGCATCCACGTCTGAACTTCGAGAGTCCCTGCGAGGAGCTTAAGGAAAAACAATTTTGAACTAGATGGGACAGCTATGAACTCCGTTGCAAACTGACCTTAGGCAGCCTTCATGTTGTGGAAGAAATCGCAGTAATGTGTGTAATAAAGTGATTCAGAACAGCAAAAAAACAGCCAGGCATCGCACAGTGCAAATTGCGTAATGAGTGGGCCGTCGAATGGTACAACCCATTACATTAGTGCTAGGCATCATTCTTCGTTGTGAGCCACAGCATAAAAAATTGCACAAAATTCCTTTGCCATCGATTGGTACAACCCATTACATTAGTGCTAGGCATCATTCTTCGTCCTGAGCCTAAGCATAAAAAATTGCACAAAAAACCTTTGCAAGCTTGTAGCGGGTACTGTGCTTCTCCGAGAAATGAAGACAAATGGCCTCACTAATGCAAAAAAAAATTTGCGATCTATGTGTGCTTGTAGCAGTTGCCTAGACAGTGTTTAAAAAAGGTTCTGAAGAACTGCTGAAAAACTCGCAGCGAAATCTGGAAATCTTTTGCTGGGAGTGTGCTGTGCATGCCATGCTGGCCTGGTGTTGTTTTTTTCCTCAAAGGGACACGCTCATAGCACGCGCATCATTTTATTCTTCACCACCTATGGATCCCCCCATTTGAAAACTGAGTGTTCAATGTCGTTAAAGTTTGAGCGCACATAGTCGCAGGCGCTGCGCTCCTGGGAGGCACCAGTTTCTGATGATATTTAAGGGCCAATTTCGAACTGAAGTGAAATCGTTCTGAAATAACAATACTGACATTAATTACACGGTGCATTAAAGCATTTACGATTCGATTTCGACATTACCAGTTGCAAAGCTACATATTGCAGTAAAAAAGTCGTGCACAAAACTTTCGCCATCAGGTGTGCTTGAGTCTTGCTGATCGCTGTTTAAATCCGCTTATGTGTGTTCTGTTCAGAAAGGGTTGGTAGCTGTAAACAGAATTTTCGCAGCAGATATGTATTGGTTTCTGTATAAAGTGCCTTAGCACACGTGCCCCTAGCCGTCGCCGATGTCTCGTTCGCGGTACTCTTCAGTGGCTCTTCCCAGAAACTGTTGTGCCCATTTTGCTCGTGATCTGGAGGTTGTGCTAACGCCCTTATAAGCAGTTAGCCTTTGGGCTCGCAGTGGGATACATGCGTGTTGTTTGTTAGTTGTAAGAAGAGATGTAGTTGAAGGACCACAAATACACGCAAGACCGTGAATGGGCTGCCCCGCCGCGGTGGTATAGTGGCTAAGGTACTCGGCTGCTGACCCGGAGGGCGCGGGTTCGAATCCCGGCTGCGGTGGCTGCATTTCCAATGGAGGCGGAAATGTTGTAGGCCCGTGTGCTCAGATTTGGGTGCACGTTAAAGAACCCCAGGTGGTCTAAATTTCCGGAGCCCTCCACTACGGCGTCTCTCATAATCATATAGTGGTTTTGGGACGTTAAACCCCACATGTCAATCAATCAATACCGTGAATGGGTTCGAAAACAACGGGAAACCGCTGCTGCGGAATGCCGAGCCACTGCTGTTGCTTGGAATTCTACCATGTCGAGTAGCTGCGACTTCATCACAAAAAAAAGAGCAGTTCACCGTCCTAGCAAAAGTGTTGGTGCGACCGATGCCAGTGCGTGAATACCACCAACAAGGATTGGGCCACTGAAGTACACTGCAGACAAGGTGCACGCCACCATGACTGCACAAAATTCGAACGCTTCCTCGGGACCATGGGGAGCTTTTAATAAGTGTTGGTCGGCAATGAGCTTTGGCACCATGTGTGCCGTCCCCGACCAGTCCTTGGTTTGCCAGATATGGGTCTGATAGGCAGCGTGCAGGGTTTTCAACAGTGTTAAGTAGGCAAGGTGTCTTGTGCAGAGGAAGAGCTGATTTGTGGTATGTGAGACATTGCTTCAAGATGTACCTAGGTTTGCCATTGTCAGACATTACGTATCTGCCCATGGAGGAGCACTTACCGAAGCCGAACTTGGCAGAAGAGTGGCTAGTGGTGCCCAATTTTCATTCCTGCTCAGTAGGGTCGTGACTATACTACCGATATTCACAATAGCAAACCCTTCATAGTCGCAGCTTCGCTGGCTTCCATCTCCACTGTAGCTGAAGGTTTCTGCATGTTTTGCGAGTTTAATACACTATTTTTAAGATACAAGTCCTATTAATATTGCCAAAATGTTGCCGAAAGATTCAATCACAGGGTCACTGTGATTCACACCCATTCAATATTTACAGAGTGTCGCGTTCCGGTGGCAATATGACTGACAAATCACCAACTTTGCTAGAGCTCCCAACAACTTAAAAATGGAATATGGCAGAACTCACTTGCCTCATGTCATTGTTGAGTAGCATGTACTGAATATTCAAAGCTGTTAAAACTTGCATCTTCAAAATGGGAAAAATAAAAAAAAATGTGCAAAAAAAAGAACTAATACAAGCACTAGTCCTAAGTGAAGGTTTATTTCTGGTGCATTACATTTTATGAATGAACAGCACTGTGCTATATCATTATGTCATTGTTTTTATGATATGGAGATACATTGAGGAAAACTAACTAGCCCCATCTCATAAAGCATTCCTGCCAAAATTTTCAGGGAGATAAATTTGGGGGGATGCAGAACTATTTTCCATACATTAATGAATTATATAGCCTTGAATATATTTCAGATTAGTTATAAATTGTATGATTTTAAACTTGGAACAAGTAGGAACAGCTTGCGGCATCGCCATGAACTTCGATTGAGTACAAACAATCGTCAACATCACTACTTCTATGCTGGTTTCCATGCTTCTTGCTAGTGCTCTCTGCTGCAGTTGTCAGCACGGCTAATGTGTCACTGTTCTGTATGGTCACATGGATGGATGTGTACAACAGCTCCTCCCAGGCTCTGCCTTTCTCAGTTTGCTCTGAATGCAAAGGCACACCTGGATGACACAAGACATCGCTGTGTAATTCACTGTCGCAGGTTCGCGCAAATGAGGCGTCTGGCCGTGAGCATTAGCGACATATCGCAACTGAGAAAATAACATGGAAAGATTTTATGTCGGTATTCCTGCTACACTCGTACGCTGTAAAGTTTGATAGCTTTCATATGTCTCCTTTTAATGGTTGCTGCGCATGTTTCATTGTCTCACTGTTGCCCGATTGCTTTGCAGGTATAGGTGCGACACGCAACACTCAGCCCACCTGCGTCAATTGTATGCTGAGGGACGGTACATTAAGGAGGAGACCGCGGCGGTGTTACAACAAATGCATGGGAAAGGTGAGGCTTGCACACATCCAGCTAGGTTCCATGTTCTAAGCGGTCGTAGTCGTGGCTGCATGTTTTCACGAAAAGGACAAGTGGCCTCACTTAGACCAGTGGATAGCTTTACCCTTGCATGTGACATTTGGTGCATGTCTGTTTCTTTCAAGCTGTGCGCTAGAAAACAGCGATACTGCCATTTTGTGCTCTCTGGAGTGTAAAGCTCGGGAGCAGCCGCTACTGTGCTTCATCCTCTTGACAATTCATTGTTGAAAGAAACAGGCTAAGCACAACACATCGCACCCAAAGAGTCAGCTGTCCATTTATGTATTTCAGAATGCTTCCTCATTTTTCTGACTGAATCTGCTTCAGTGCGTCACTTTCTTGTCACGTGTAGGTCCGGCCGGGCGTAGCAGAGCAGTTGCGTTTCATGCGCGACGGGTGCAATCGATTTGGATATGGCCCTCAAAGTTCTATGATGAATATCTTGAGTTGTGTTCAGCTTTTGTGATTTGTCAAAAATAAATATGCCATAAATTGTCATGCACTACAACTTTCTTGTATATGCAGGTAACCTCTGGGCAGTAATTATATAGTTAATTAACAATCATTTAATTGTAAGTGTTATTTTAGCTGCAAGGTATTTTTTTTCTCCACATGGAGTTTGCATGCAAAAAGAGTTTAAGAGACTTACTGTCATGTTTTTTTTTTTTAAGTCTGTACATTGTCCAAAAAACGCCTTGTAGAGATAGAGATAAGTTTCTTGTCTCCTAGAAATTAATCACAGCGATTTATAAAAGAAATGTGACAGTGATGTTCGTGCTTGGCTCATTAGAAAATTTATGCTCTTCGGCACTACATCTTCCTGCTTATGCTCTTCTAGGATGACATGCTTCCTGAGCACGCCAATCATTCATCGCAGACAGAACAGCACATCACTCTAGTCTGGTGCCCAAGGCAAAATATTTCAACACACAACGTAGAAGTGCAGGTGGACCTCTTGTGACAGCTGTGTCTGTGTGAGTGCTTTGGAGGCTTTCTTTGGCAGCAGTGGTACCAGGCTGATGAAGAGCCTAAAGAAGACATTGACTTCAGGATTGAGCAAGCCTGTCATGTGCATTCGCCTGGGTTCTCTGTGCAGCAGCGTGAGAATACTTTGTTCAATCTCAGCCTGACTGTGCTCAGCACCTAGTTCTCTGACGATGTGACCCAACTTCGTGGACGAACCAGGAGGGCCGCTCCCTGCTGACTACATTGGCGAGATCTCCACCGCCAAGCCGCCGAAGTTCGGTGACCTCAGCCTTCACACACACAAACAAAATCTGCTGCCTTTCTTGGTGCTATCATCATATGCCAAACCAGTGCATCAATCGGCCTAGTGAATGCCTTTGTGGTTCCTACATCAAGCTCTTAAATGATTGCACAGATGACCTGTTTGTGACCACTACATCCAGGATGAAAGGGAAGCTACCACATCCAGGGACTTCTTGAATTTCTTGCATGCATTGTATCATACATGGGTTTCTGGCCCAGCCTGGTGGAATTCCAGTGTAAACCGCGGCGCCAGCCACTGTGGTCTACTTGTACACTTTAGAGACGTTGCACTGTACTCTGGAAGAGACAATACATCCTGAAAACCTGCAAAAAGACAGAAGAAAGCAAATGAGTTGCGCTATGGTTGTTTGTGTTGCATCGTTTAGGAAGCCACTCTTGCAGGTGCGACTAACGCCAAGGACCTGGCATTGCACGAACAGTGAAGGCAGAAACACTGCCGCAGACAAGGCTGCATTATGTGCACGTTATGTCTCTCAGTCCAAGTAGTCGCATAATTGCTTTCCTGTATTCAGTGCGGAGCTTTCAGCAAGATATCCAGATCACTAGAAAGGGATGTGGTGATATGAAGTGTACTGAAACGGCGATGTGGCATTTTGAATGTAAATGTACAAATGGACGTAGGGAGGGGGTCTAATAAATTATTTGCTGCCTTAAGTGATAATCACAAATCACTCTGTTAATCACGAATCACTCACTACTTAGCCTAATTTATTGCTTACTCAACATTTATCACAAACTATTCATGGTAATAGTATTCATGATCGTTATTTGTACAAATAGAAAACATTATAACCACTGTCACAATTCACAGGAATGCTTCTCTTTTTTTTTATTATTGGATGGTTTGATATATGAGGGTGCTTTATTGGGCAGGTCGAAATGTCAAATTTCGCAAGCAGCTTGTGTTAGCAACCCAGCCTAGAACCATAGTTCGTGAGGCACGTGCCCCAATATTATCAGTCGTGCTTCGCATCGATCAACAAAGACATTACTACAGACGTACGCATGCGCACACGTGCTTTTGTGAACGCAGGAATATGCAGTCATACGGGAAGCGGTAGAAACAATAATCTCGCTCGCAGCAGTCAAACAAGACGCGATGTAAATACAGCAAAAATTGAAAAAAACTCAATGCACACCCCAGTGGATAAAAGACTGGGCATCACACGACCGCTGTATTTGTTGGCATAACGATGTACATCCGCAACACTGCGGGTGCTAAGGTTTCTAGGTAAGAAGTTATATTGCCAACCATCCGCAAGGACAGCTGCTGAAGAGGTGTTGGCGTCTACATAACGTGTCCACACAGGACACCTATATATACTACCATGGCGTTCATTGGCAGTATCTAAACATAGAGTTGCTACCTTTAGGCAGCGTGAAGTAACTCTAGCCAAACACATGCCCTAGCGCCTACGTTGGCTAGCACTGACGTGGGTTCTCTCCACGTGCAATGACCCAGTAGATTTCGACGGCCAAAAAATGAACATCACTGAATCATTCTACTTAAGGCGTTTAAATATTATTAAAGCGCATATATTTTACTAAGAGATGTGTAGTTTTTTTTTATTGAAAACACAAGCACAGGTAAAGTGCTGGTTATTGGCACCAGTTTATTGGTACCTCTGTCACACGACCTTGATGCACCTACAGAGAATTAAAGGCCAAATTAGAGGGATGTGGACTTGGCTTTTTAGCCTCTCTTTTGTCAAACAAGGAAAACTCGTTGATCAGGCACTACCAGCATTGATGTATGCATATGATATAGTGCTAATGGCTGACAACAAGGAAGATTTGCAGAGATTGATAGACATCTGCGGTAATGAGAGAGATAGATTAGATTTTAGATTCCGTAAGGAAAAATCAGCAGTCATGATTTTTAATGATAACTGAAGGTAGTGAGCTTAAGATACAGGAGGTCACGCTAGAGATAACCGATAAATACAAGTATCTGGCTGTATGGATAAGCAATGAGGACCGAGTACCTAAGGGAACACGAAATATATGTAATGACTAAAGGTAACAAGAATGTTGCGGTGACGAAAAATAGAGCACTGTGGAATGACAATAGGTATAATGTTGTGAGAGCAATTTGGAGAGGGGTCATAGTTCCTGGTCAAACGTTCGACAATGTGGTCTTGTGCATGAGATCAGAGGTTCAAGTAAGATTAGAAATTAAGCAACGTGAAATTGGTAAGCTTGCTTTAGGAGCTCACGTGAATACACCAAATCAGAGTGTACAAGATGATATGGGATGGACATCATCCAAGGGTAGGGAAGCTATAGCAGCACACACGATAAAATTTCAGGAGTGATTGAGAGAATTGGGAGAGGAACATTGGGCTAGCTATAGGTTTTCAGCTATTTGTACATGAGGAGGGCAAATACTTAAAAAGACAGCAGGGGGCCGAACCGAACAGAACTATTGGTTAACAACAAGAAGGTGAAGGAAACGGAGACTGACATGTGGAGAATAGGCATGATTAAGAAGTCGGCACTAGAGATCTATCGAACCTTTAAGCAGGAAACCGCCAAGCAAAGAATCTATGATGATTCTCGTGGTAGTTCTCTACTATTTGAGGCCAGGACGGGAGTATTGCGAACCAAGACTTATCGGGCCAAATACGAAGGGGTAGACACGGTATGCAGTGCGTGTGGAGAGGAGGAGGAAACTGCCGAACACTTGATAATGTCCTGTAAAGGATGATAGCGCAGAGTTTTGGAAGCACTGGGGTAGAGGGACAGGGAGGGTAAAACAAACCTTTAGCGGGTAGAAATAACTAGAAGGTTATCGGAATTAGTGGCTATAATCAAGGCACGAGTGAAAATTGAATCCAGCGCTGCGAATTGTCAGTTTTTAACTTCACTATTTAAAGAAAAAGGTTAAATTTAATTTTTTTTCACTAAGTATTACGGTTAGGTGACGTTAGCCGCCGCCCGATCTAAAGAGCACAGCCGTATCAATCCGTCTAATTATCCACGCACAACTGAAAACCATGGAGGAAGGAAAAACTTCCTTCGTGCTAAAAACCAATGGAAAGTAGAGTGACCTAGAATGTATGCATTGCACTCGAGCCTCGAGAGTGGTGCCACAGTCTGGTGTGAAAACCGGCCGCTGCAAGCTCAAGGAGGTTAGAGAAAAGTTCTCTAACCTCCTTGTGCAAGCTTGCCCCCATTCCCGATCCCGCAGCGGTGGCGCTGTAGTCAGAGCTAGGCGCTGCAAGCTTGCTGAGTGCACCGTTAACACGCTCGCGTATCGGTGTAGGCAGGATTTTTTCTTCGGGAGGGGGGGGGGGGGGGGCAAAACTATGCTGCATCACGGCTGGGGGGGGGTTGACTCGCTTGTGCTACACCCTGTTGGCCCGTGTGACCAGGGGGAGGGGGGAGGGTGGCAAGCACCCCATATACACTGCCCCTCCCCGCCGCCAAACCTCGTGCACTCGCGTCGGCAATTGCTAGATTTTCACCGCTGGAAAAGCTTCATCAGTGTGATAACCAACTTTATGCATTCACAACACACTTATGCTGCACTGAAGAATAATTAATGGCATTCACCTGAACCTTTCGGCACAGCCAAACCTAAATAGAGCGTTAGGCTTGTTGGTGCGTACTTGTGCTACACCCTGTTGGCCCGTGTGACTAGGGGGAGGGGGGAGGGTGGCAAGCACCCCATATACACTGCCCCTCCCCGCTGCCAAAGCTCGTGCACTCGCGTCGGTAATTGCTAGATTTTCACCGCTGGAAAAGCTTCATCAGTGTGATAACCAACTTTATGCATTCACAACACACTTATGCTGCACTGAAGAATAATTAATGGCATTCACCTGAACCTTTCGGCACAGCCAAACCTAAATAGAGCGTTAGGCTTGTTGGTGCGTACTGAACCGTCAGGAAAACAGCGCTGCTGTTGTCGCTTGTATGTCTCATGTTAGCGCTATTTTTCTGAAAAATCGGACGTAACTCAACCGTTCCTAATGCAACCATTCTTCAAAGAAGTATTGTTTCGAATGACTCATGGCTTTACATATTTGTTGAACACAAAATGCAATCTTTATCTTCATAATATTTGTTTACACAATTAAGTACAAAGAAAGCCTCCTCAAGCGGGACATTTTATGATTTCAAAAGTTTTCTAGCATGCTATCATTTTAACACGATAACTTTTGATAAATTGTATTGCCTCGTACTATAATATTGCACCTTGATAGCGCGAGTATCCTTGTCCATTTCTTCTTTACCTTTTGATAAATACTGAACTGGCATTTCGCTTGAATTCGCGCCATCACAGAGCTGTTCTCAAATTGTGATAGCTGGCTTCAGCCAAACTTAATTCGTTCCGCATTATGATAAAGTACACTGGATGTTCTTTCGGGTTTAATTCCCATCAAAGGAAATAATTATAACTCGATAGCGATACAAACGAATGTGATCACAGACGTGTTTGACACAGTCAATTTCTGCAACACGTAGCTACAACAAGCTGCCTGACTATCTCTGAATGCAGGTGCAATGTGCGGAAAACACGTGTCAACCTGTTTTACAGAATTCTGCACGTGAAGTTGTATGATAGACTCTTCTGGTACACTGGCACGGTGAGTGCATTTTTGTTATTTGCGCATACGCGAGGTGAGAATCGCTGCGTTGCTTTGTATATAATCGACGAAAACATAATGAAGTAAAACTGAAAAAGATGATGGAACGTTCAGGTGAACGTGCTTATCAAAGCAATCGGTCAGTTCTTTAAGCTGGTGCTTGTCATACTTGCACATAAAAACGTTAGCAGCAGTTCGGGTTCGCTGCAGGTAACTTGAGCCTAGATGTTTGCTTTTTTTAGATGGCCGAATTATCCCCATTATACTGGTGGTAGAAGCCGGGGTACTTACACACACACGCACACACACACACACACACACATTCCTTTTGGCCATACGATAAAATAGATATAGCTTTACCGGCAGATGGCAAGCTTCCAAACCGCAAATCTATCAACGTGCTGGCACACGGAAAAGTGATACATTTGCCGTGCATATTCCATACCTCGAATCGCAGAGCCTGACACGAAACACGCTGTCTGAGCTCTCTTAATTTCGTAGACGTCATTCCTCTGTACTTGTAAAACCACGTGGAACGCCGACGAATCTGACAAGCTCCCGTCGCAGTGGCCTGCACTGACAGCGCCTCCGATTGTCACGCCAGGTTTTGGCCAGCGGAGAGATCACGCAAAGCAGTGCCTCCGAGCCTCCGGGCAAGGAAAACACAGCTCGCTTTTCACACCTCCCCATTCTACAGGTATGGTGGCTAGAAGGAGAATACTACAGGCACTGCGCCGTGCTCCCTTCCGGGCTGCAGAAATTAGGTGCTGCTAACCACATTGCTAACCACTACTACCACCGTTCCAGCCACCCTAACCAGGTGCAAATTTGTCGACTTGGTCACTCTGCCGGCTCTGTTCCCTTGAACAAACTATCATGGAGGAGGTAGACGTTCAACAGCCAGCTTCTCACCCTGTTGACTCTGTTCCCCAAGGGAAACATACTTCACTGGAAGAACTAGACGTTCAACAGCCCGCCTGTCACTCCGTTCACCCTGTTTCCCAAGAGAAACATACACTGGTGGAGGACGTATACGTTGAACAGCCAGCCTGTCAATCTGTTGACACTCCCCAAGA